AATTGCTTATTTAATTCAGTGTGTTAAGTCAAAGCGAAGAGCATCAAGGTGTGATGTGGGCTCTGGTGTTCTTTTTATTAGAGCACGCAGAAGATACTCCACCAGATACGGAAGCACCGGCCGTGTTAGAATTAGTTCTCACTTTACTTACATCGCAAAATATTTCTTATAGTTTGCATCAAACCCTTTTGCAGGTATATTAATGTGTGCTCGTGTAAATATTAATTTTTTAAACGCATGTAAACGCTTATACGTTAATTTTTTATATAATTTTGTTTTCACATAATATGATATAGGGACTCGAACGACTCGTAGCAACGAAAAGTGTGATTGGAAAGGTTGCCGAGCAAATAGTAAAAGTTGCGATCGATCGTTTAAAACAGCCTAGTCCTATGTTATCGTTACCCGCCTTGCAATTATTATTGACTTGCATGTATACGGAATCATCCGATAGATTGAATCAACTAAAAACAGAGGAACCATTACCAGATATTGAACCGGAAACACTAGTTCGATCTATAGAACGTACTTCTGCAATTTTCGATAAAATTAGAAGGGGACATTCTATGGAAGTGGAACTTTTATGTACAGTCTTATCCGGCGTGCTTGCTGATTTCTTTCCACCTTTAGAAATTTTAACTAAAGTTATAGGAGAATTTTTATCGCCGCAACAACCTCACCCACGATTACTTTCCGCTGTTGTATTTAAGGTTTGTATCATTAATGATCAATGGGTAACAACGTAATAAAATAAATTAATAATCATGCGATTATATAAGTATATTTGTAAATTACAATTGTGAACAATTTAAAATAATAAAATAATTCTTTATAGGTTTGCGAAAGAGCATGCACTTGCGCGCAAATGGAACTTCTCCAAGACTGGGTTGTATTTAGTTTACCAAACTTTATTCAAAGTTTGCCAATTACGATGTCGACGTGGTGCTTATCTTGTTTTTTTATTAGTACATCTACGAATCATTGGTTAAGAGCATTGTATCCTTTTGTATTTTTTATAATTTTTCATTAATTAATTTCATTTATCGTAAATTTCCTTAACGTTTTATTTAGATTTCCTTATATTCAATCCAGAATAGGAAAACACGAATACGAGGATAAAAAGATATTATGCATTGCTGCTTCTGATTTCTATCGTAAGGTAATATATAATTTTATAATAAAAATAATCAAAATAATAAATTTTACGATATTAATAATAATAATATTTTTTTCAATAGTTATCTAAGGAAACTCAAAAGAAGGCTTTTGTGGAAACTTTTGAAGCAGCAGCAAAAGAACCTGGAACTCCGTTTAGTGACATTTTAGCGTCTTTTTAGCTAGTCTTATCATTGATTGTTTTATCATTGATTGATATAAGAAAGTTAAAATCAATCAAAACAAGAAGTTTTCATTCAGAAGTTGTAATTATGTTCTTAATTCTCTTTGTAAATTGATGTACAATCATTACGCGACATAGATTTATCGCGTGTACAGTTATATGTGTATGTGATGATATTTATTTTACATCGTGTCCTATTGAAAAGAGATAACATGTTTATGATAAACAATATTTTTTAAACATTTCATGTCTATGTATTTTGAATGATACCTTTCCTTATAAAGTAGAAAAAAATGAAATAAGTTCTCTATATTAATTAGACATTTTGGTTGTCTTTTTGGATTTCCATCTATTTTCTTTTATATAGAAGAATAAATGAATGGTACCATAGTAGAATATTTCAACAAAGGATAAAACACTAGCTCCCAGAAATAATCCTGCTGCTCCTCCAATACTAGCTGTAATGTAAGATATATATTAATAAAAACTTTTATTAGTTCAGTAAATCATTTAGTTTTGAGAAAGATTTGAAAAATTTTTTTTATATTATTCTTCCTTTTTTTTTTTTAATTTTTTAATTTTAACAATTATCAAAATAACACAAATGTATATACACATATATATATATTCTTATATTTCTGATATAATATTGAACTATAATTTAGAATTATTTTTTTATTATTTTACTTAATTTTAATTATAGAATTTGACCTCTTTTGTATTTACTTCTTTGAATTATCATATTTTTAGGAAATGAACATATAAAGATACGAAAATATATAAAAAAAAAATATTCTAGACTTTAAAAATATTTCCATACATACTTAGTAAATCAGTAAAGCCATATAACAGTGATCTGTAATAAATGATTTGTGGAAGTTCAGTAATCATAATTATTGCATTTGTTTTTATTTCCATTTGTTCTCTGAAATAATTTCAATTTTAACAAATTTTATTTATTTTATTTATATATTTCTTATTTTTTTTATCCTAATATCCTAATATAAATTAAATTTAATAAATACATGTTAGTATCTTCGATATTTTTGATTTGATAGGAAACGATATCGCAGTTTGAAATGCACTTGCAAAAAAAAGGATATTCGTATAGAAAAAGCTTCTTTCTTATATTACCGATGCAACGAAGTTGCGTTGCATTGCACGTGTTTACACCATCTGCAAATATTAAAAAATTTTTCATTTATATTTAATCACGTCATACTGATTTTAACGTGGTTTACCAATGGGCCTGGCAAAATGGGGACGGCAATTGCAATTATCTTGTATTATTTTCATTCTGCATTCTATGATGCACATATTTTTTGTATAAACTGGCCATGTTTTTAAACCGCCATCGCCGAAAAATTTACATTTTCTTTGACGAATAGAGAGCTCTTGAACATTCGGTTTCGTCTGAATCTGTGACGCAAATATCATATTTCTGTAAATTTTCTTCGCATGTGTTCGTATCATAGAAATGTCGTACGTTATTAATTCGAAAGGATCAGACACGGTGAACTGAGAAAAGAAAAAAATTAATTATATTACCATCATCTATGATTTTCAAAATGGATAGAAACATTCATTTGTATTCCCACCGTAGCATCGAAAGGTATATTAAAATTTTCTATTAAAGTATCGATGGACGTATCGTAATTTTGAAGATCATCAGGTATAGGAATCGTGGTCCAATTATTATTTTTCCAATAGCTTGCATAAAAGATTATATTTATAATCATTCGATCGAAGAATTATTTGTTGTTATTATTACTAAAAAAAAAAAAAAAAAAAAAAAAAAAAAA